TCATTATAGACTTATGTCAAACTCACCGTTGAATAAACTCTGAAACTGTGTACTCTGAAATCCTTGTGGATATTTTGGTTCAAAGATGAAGTAGGCGAGGAAATCAATGAGAAATCCTTGTGAGACATTATCCACATAGACACATTGCTTCTGTTCAATAAACCGCTTAAAAGTGGCTGTTCGATCATACAGTGATCGCCCAAGAATGACCAATGTTGGAGTCATAACGTTTACCGCTGCTTTCATGTCTTCCAAAGAAGTTGTACTCTGGAATCTAAGTTGATGCATCAATTCATTTTCATTGAAACCATAAAATACGTTAAAAATGAGATAGAGCAAAACGCTGTCTTCTTCGAAGTACACCACGAGTAGTACAATTATTGCCAGTTGATGGCAATTATTGTCAAGACGTTGGGCTCATGTTGCTGAGGCTCGGAATATCTTTGTTATTGCTTCCACTTGATCAGATTCACTGTTCAAGCTGTGAAGTGAATTTGATCGTAATTGGTGCGACGCAAAAATTAGAGTCCTATCTTTCACTTCGCTCCGGAACCTTCTGTTGACACCCTTTCCCAGTAATTTCGTGATATGCCATGCATTTTCTCCAGCTAGAAAAGGAGGTTCCCAGAGAGAACAGCTATGTGAGTGCAGTGTGATTGAATCCTTCTTTTCGTTTTTCACCTTGCTTCGGGTTATCAGAAGCGTCTGATAATCTATCAAGTTTTCTTCTGTATGTCACATTACAATTCGAATGGTTCATCATTAAAGCACTAAATTTCTCTGATTGAATTGTGTCTATACCATTAGCAAATGTTACAGGCTAGACTTGGCAGGTATTTTATATTGTATGAGTGATAGCTGGCAAGGTATCCGTCAGGTTATACCTGAGGTATCTGCGCATAAGATCCACAACCAGAAATTTGTCGCATTTTGATGTTCGTTAGCCTTCATAGCACTTTTGAAATAAGTTATTGGGCAGCTACAATCATGACTATGCGGGAGGATTCGATGTTTCTATTACTTCCTGATTCTTTGTTGTCTGGGAACATCAATTGGCAAAGGTTTGGGGTATCGTGGAAGCAGTTCATCCGGTATTGACTGCTCCACTAGAAGTGCAATTAACACAACTCTCTCCATTATTCTCTGCAATTGCTTTTGCAATTGTTGCTATTCTCACTGCAAATTGTTGAGAAGTCTATGCTGGATGTTCTGTTTAGCTACTTGTTGATGGACTTTCTCGTATCGCTACAATCATCAGTCGTGGCGGAGATTCAAAGTTGTTAACCCGCCCCTTCAATATTTTGATTTAGATAAATTACAGCTCCATCATCTTCCAAAATGTGCTATGGAATGTATAATCCAATGAGTGAGATAATATCGATTGTTCGATTTAACACAAAGAAATAACGAAACAAGTGTAAGGGACTTCATTTATTATTTTGTTATATTCATTACTAAGTTCTGAAGAAATAATTTATGCTATGGTAAAGGTGAGAAGTAAGCACAAGACCATGAGACAATAAGTCATACTTTATAGCCGTTTGAAGGTAGCAATAATTGGTCAATTAATTGTGAAATAATATCCTCCAGCGAATCTGCCAAGACAATAGCTCGATTCGATTTTTATTTCAAAATAATTTCATGCAGAGACATGATAATGGAAAAAAAATTTTCGATTTGTTCGTTGGGAGGAAATTTTCTATAAACAAAAATTTGTAGAAATATGTAACTGCTGCAACGTCTAGTTATCAACCATTCAAGCCTACAATTCCATGCTTCAAACGGATGCATCGTACTGTATCTAATGTATATGTACATATTAAGAGCTTGAAAGCTACACAGATTTTGAATCGACGAACATCCATACGTAAAATCATTTGACAATTCATACGTACTCAACAATTCACTGCATAATCGATGTTGGCTAGTTTTTGAAGAAAACATTCGTTCTGAATACCTGACCACCGGCGAAATCAATTAATGTTTGCTGATATGATCTGTTTTTGTCACGATTGAAAAGATTATAAAGTGATTTACAATTTAACAGACGCTTCACAGCCTCTCCAATCGGTACATAATTAAAAAATACTTTCTGTTTCCTTTGTTATTTCATTAATTTTTCACATGAATCCACGTATCGCGTTGTTCCTGGTACTTTTTTTTCCGTTTGTAATTAATGTCGAGCAGTATATCATGAAACGGAAGGGGACTAGAAGCCGAAACTTCTTTTACAATCGCTTAAATTGTCGGTGAGGCAACGTTTTCCTTTTGCAAGAATTTCTCATTTGTTATGCATAACTTTCTGACCGATCACATTCACAATTTACATAGTTGCCATGATTTTCTGGATAGTGCTCCTTAGAACTGTCAACTGACTGTCCAATTTCAAATAAAAAACCACTAAATTATTGAAAAAACTGGTACTTAAATCAGTGTTGATTCTATCGAAATCGCTAATCATAAAATCCATTTCATTTCCTTGAATTTCACACTCATTATTAATACAACCCTAATTGTTACGATTTCCCACGTGTTCAATCAATTCTTACGGTTCTACTGAAAATGACGCATGCCCCTCGTTAGCCCTTTTTAATTTTATCACTCCATGGACTCTAGATTTGTAGTTTGTGAAAGGCTAATATTTAGATGACGCAGTCGGTGATGAAGCCAATGAGCCCTCAATGTTTCGGTTACTTTTGGACAAAACTGGCAAAGGTACATGGTATCTGTAATAATGCAGGCAAATGTCTACCTTATGTGCCTACTTTTCAAATCTACTCGTGTCTTTCCAAATGAGAAGGTTTTTTATACAACGGCAGTCTTTAATATTTTATCAAATAAAATAATTTATTTGTCTAATCGAGCTGACTCATGTAAAAAATTTTAATAACAAAAAGATTTTCGTACCTGTTTTATACAGTTTTTTGTAAGTTGTTCGTATCTACCTCAATAACACTCCTCGCTACTTATCACTTAGCACACTGACTGTAATTAGCGTTTGAAAGATGGTAATTCTTGCCTTGAAAATATGCGCCACTTCGAACTATTTGATTTAACAGTCAATTCATGAAATGAGCACCGCTCAAACCTGGAAGGGTGAGAGAAGGGTGGGTGAAAATAAAACGGATTAAATGAGGAGTAACGAACCTATCAGGGTGAAATGAGGATGGGTGAAATGAAGAGTTGTGGAACCTGGCAGGATGAAATGAGGATGGGTGAAATAAGGAGTAGTCAAACCTGGCAGGGTCAATTAAATGAGGATTAGTCGAACCTGGCAGGGTGAAACGAGGACGGATGAAACGAAAACGGATTAAATGAGGAGTAGTCAAACCTGGTAGGGTGAAACGAGGATGGGTGAAACGAAGACGGATTTTATGAGGAGTAGTCAAATGAAAATGGTGAAACGAGAACGGGTAAAATGAGGAGTGGTCAAACCTGGCAGGGTGAAACGAGGATGGGTGAAACGAAAACGGATTAAGTGAGGAGCAGTCGAATCTGGAAGGGTAAAAGGAGGATGAGTGAAATAAGGAGAGGTCAAATCTGGAATGGTGACATGAGGATGATTTCACATATCAAATTTGACTTAATCTCTCCGTGCATACTTTCCAAAAGCGTGCTTCGCATAGTCGTTACGGGAAAAATGGCATAGGTAAAATATTAAAGAACAAGCACCATCACATTAATATTAAGTGAAAAAGATTATTATTATTATCGCCTTCATACTTTTTCAGAATCAGCATTACCCAAGAAATTATCACAATTATATTTTCCAAATGTTCCTGAATGACCAAGTAATTGTTATGCTAAGTCTCATTGTAATGTCGTCAAGACTATGTTTAAAGTTAGAAAAAAAATAACAACACGACCTCCTGCTCAAGATCTTAGCATCATCGTAGAATTAGACACATGGCCTACGTCTTACATGATCAACAAAAATTTCAACAACTCACAAAAAAATATCACTATGCATGTCACCATTGTTACGCAATGTTTCGAAATAGATAGAAGATTTGGACCTCTTTTTTTGGGTTGGGTCCATCAATGAGTCTATTAAAACCATGCTATGAATCCCGGTGCATCATGACTGTGATTATGAATGTGTTATCTAATGCTTGTACAGTGGGGAGTCCAGAATTGTTAGGTGCAGGCCAGTAGGGCATACGGTAACATTTGGCAGCGACTTCGTTCAATTTTATGCATCTCATAAATGGATTCAAATGAAAACATTTGAAACTTCCTACTTCAGTTGAGTCAATTCCGGTATTGAACCAGGATTGAACAGTGTCAAATTGGTTGACAATTAAATGATAATTCGTCTCTGTACCGTTGTCACTTGTGAAGATATTGCATACTATACAAATAGAGGAGTCATTGAGGATACAACAGTTATCGTGACTGTTGACACCAAGTGTGAAGTTTTTTGTTCGAAGTAACTTGTACTGAATAATATTCTGATGTTCAATCAATACTGGCAAAGGTCCATTATGATGTTTTTGAGATACTTTGATGCAAGAATGTGTAGGAATCTTTCGAAATTGGGGGCAATTCGCCTTAGACGTCTCAACAACCCTGCGATAAATTTGTTGGAGTGGTGCATGAGGTTTCCTGCACCATTTTCGAAAGACTCTCATATTATTTTCATATGGGAAGGCAGAAAAGGAGTCCAAGGAACCAAAATTCTCAACGTCATCTACGAGATGGGGCTGATTTTTGATGTTATATGACTTGAATCTTTTTCCGTAAATCTCAGTTGAACTCCTTGTCCATTCTTCCAGAGCAATTCTAGCGTACTTTCTATAATACGATGATGGTTGTGGTGCTATTAAACATCGTAAAGCAGTGTGATGTAATAGGTAATGATCATAAACATCTTTCTTATAAATTCCATGATAAATGACAGGACCTGTGTACAAAATTAGCTGTCGATATTCTGTAGCCTTCATACGCTCATAATCAATTATGTTTCCTGGAAGTCGTGAGAATTCTCGTGGACAGAAGTTTCAGATTATAAGAAGTCTTGCATTAATCGTGTGTATGTCTAGAGCTGATAATTTTACATGCTTTGATAGGTCTGGTACACCTTTTATCGTTGCCCAAGTTTGTCTCTTGGCCGCACCTAATAATGCAAGATGCATGTAATCGAATGTAACCTGTTGCACCAGATCAATTGGTAATGATTCTATCGCACTGGGCCCATGATGATGTCCTTCGTCAATTTGATTTCTGTAATCTTCATCCGTCCTCGGTGATCCCGTTTCATCACATTTAGAGCAACTATTGTGGCCAGTGTGATATAAATGATTTAAAATCATTGCTCTAGCTGGGGCATCGGCTATAAAACACCGTAACACTACTCTAATCCTCTGGTTGTTATACATAATTCCTCCATTCGTCAATATTGCGTTGGTTTCATTAACAAAGTCTTCCATAAATAAATGTGTGTCTACCGGTTTCTTGTTGCCTTTGTAGATACCCACAATAATCGGAGTACTGTTGGGAATATTTACAATTCTAACCTGGATCGGCCAAAGTACTATGAATCCATTGTTATCTAAATTTGCACCATCGGTATTGAAATCCATATGTAAGAATTCAGGCATGGGGGAAATACAAGATTCTTCCAGAAAATCCACTATTTTTTTTTCTACTCCCAAATGCAAATACTCCCCAGGTTCCACTCTTTTTAATTGAAGCTTTTCCTGTGGAGTATTAACTAGCGTACGATGATCAGCAGGTAAATATGACAAACATGGATGTTGCCGTAATAGCTTCAGAATGGCTGTGCCTTTCGATTGCTCTAATCCAATTGTTATGAATAGCTCGCAAAGTTGTTGTTGAAAACTTGGTCCATCTTCTTCGAAATCGCTATTGCATTCACTCCAATCCCCGAAACTGCTGTTGCTATCGAATAAATCCGATAAATGATCCATGGAAGCGTCCGACCATGAAGAACGTCGACCGAACGTTGATAATGAGGACTCCTCATCTGCATCTATTGGATACCGATCCATGCTCAAGTATCTAAAGTAAAAAAAATGGTGCACGGAGTTAACGATGGGATCAATTTGATAGAGGATATGCAGAAGAAAATACAATCCTGGGCAAAATGAGAGGCTCGTGGAAATTATAATTTTATGGAAATGTATTTGGATGAAATTACGGGGGTCAAATGATAAGGGTGACATCGCATGGATCGAAGAGACTATGTATTAGTGCAACGACGACTGTAAAGCGTCAGAGGCAAGTCGTACTAGATGAACGGTATGAAGAACATTGTAAGAGTGGAATTGGATGGGTTGAAGCCAGGCATACTTGCCAGCGAACGCTGCAGATGCTCGAGGTGGTAGCTAACTCTCCCCCCCCCCCCCCCCACACTCATATTTTGAATCTCATTTCACCCACTTTCATTGCTGATAAATAAATGAAAGATGCACTCATCTATTTGCATTTATTGCAAACTCAATGGCACAAAATTGGTTTATGAATTTCCAGGAAAATTTGTAAAATGAATATTTATTTTCGTGGATTTTTAAAGTTAGCCATAGTATATTGTTATTTGAGCTTGGAAATTGCGTTATCTTAATGAATATAAAGTGGGACCCTACTTTGAAAACTTCTGCTCATTTTTGAGATGGGAGCAGCTGCGCTCATATTTATAATAATCATAATTTACAATTTGCACATTTATTCTTACAGCAAGTCAGCGGCGATTCTCTAAATTTCAGGAAGATTTTTCGAATCAACAAAGTAGAACCTTTTTTATTGACCTAAATGCTTCAAGTAAATTAAAGATACATCTTACTTCCTTCAGTACTGAAGATAGACTGAATAAAATCGGGGGATTTTGCATTGTATCTTCGGGACGTGTCATTGGGACGCGTTAGTTGTTTTTTCTAAAAATAAATTTGCGCCAATTTAGGGGCACTATTTTTCCGCAATCTCGAACTCATAACAAATGAGCAGTACAATAGTGGGCGCGTAAGGAACGCTACATGCACTTAAGTAAGGACGAAACCATCGATGGGCTGTATTCTTTGTGGTAGAGTCTTTGAGCGAGTGCAGTAATACGGACTCGTAGGGAATTTCAGTCCTTCACCCGAATTGTTATATAATTCGACTCATGCATCAAAAAAATTGAGCAATGTCTATTGCTCTAAAAAGTTATCTATGGAGACTTTTATTTTATTTGTATGTACACCGAGAAAAATAACATCAAGAGTCCAAACTGAAACGAAACTCTCGACATAAACACGATTGGTGTGGGTTACAGTATTTGGAAAAACAACATCAGCAGTTTGGCGTCAACTTATCGCCAATCATTAACTCCTTTGGCGCTTTGTTTACATACATCATCGCCGGAGGATCAGTTTCGACGCTGGCTTCCTACTAGAGAGATGGATCAGCTCTCCAGGCTACCCTCCTCGCGCGCTACAAAAAAACCATCTAAATACAACGATTTTGTCGCTCTCCTTTCAAGTTCCATAGAAAGTAGCGAGGATTCTAATGGAAAAAGTGCAGTGATACAGACAGCAAACGATTGTATACATCGAGTTCAGAGTAGAATGTCGCAAGTGGAAGGGTTGAATAGATTACGATCGGACGGTGTGATGTGGAGTGCAAACGACGGTGAGACACAAATAAAAAAGAATCGAGTCGAGAAGGAGAATGACAATCAGGTACAAGATCATGAATATGAGGTAATGAATTGTTTCTATTATTGTGACATACATTCGACGAAAAGTTCCTGTTTTTTGTAAATAACGAGTGATGACTGTTGCATGTAAAAGCGCCGAAATTTCTCAGAAATTTGGAATTAAAAACACAGAAGTTATCGCGTGCTTTGTGAAAAAACGTCGTATGTTTACTCCTCCAGAGAACATGAAATGATCTTTAAAGGTTATTCCCGAGTGATTCAAAACGTGGCATCATTTTCAGAAAACATTTTCTAATGAAAGTTTTTGCTAAATTTCTCCCCCCCCCCCCTTCATGATTTCTAAATATGTAAAATATCGAGATTCAATGTCTCTTGTGAATGCGGACATACGAGCTTTATCCACAGTACACGCGATACAGCAAAAAAATGTTCAGTTGGAAAAAATGGAAGAAATAGAAAATTAAACCGTTACAACTTGATAACTGAGAAATAGAAAAAAAACAATGCACATTGCGATAATCTTGGGCCGCAGAGGAAAAACCAGTGGCAGTGGGCACAGCGTACTTGGAAGTTGCAGCCCAAAGATTCGTGGCGAAGAGTAGTCTGTTTATTTCTCTACGATTTGAAAAATTAATCATGACTAACATTTTAGATGTTATCTTTCGTCCCGAAAATTTGAAAATATGTATCAATACTATCTCTATTGACAACGATCTGTCGCGCCAATATAGAGATTCGATATTTTCCATCTTGATAAAAATATTACAAGTAATTATTGAAGTACATGGAAAAAGCCAGACAATAAATATATGTGACTCGCGAGGAGGCGTTTTTTTGTTCAAACTCAATGTTTCTAATATTTGTCGTTAAGACTTTGAAGAGAATTAAAAAAACAGCAACAAATAAGATTTACGACCCCAAACAAAAGAAAACAGCAGTGCTGTTCACCTCGTAGGACTCGTAGTAGCCACGGGAAAAGGTTGTCTAATTCTTTTCTTACAATTGACAATTTCCATCTGAATTCTGAATTTATATTTTCCCGAAATTACATACCCGCCTTTGTACGAAAAATTCCATAGAATCTGTTAGTGCATTGGCAAAGCAATTCTATTTACAATTCCTGGAATTTTTCGTCAAATCTGTTGAAAATTGCTCAACAATAATTGCGTTTTTTTCAATACAAATATTCAGTAGAAAGTATATGACACAAAAAATCAATCGGTTTGGATTTTTCCATAAAATTCATATTATTCAAGTTTGTCCTATAAAAATTTGTTGGCATAAATTTCTCAATTTATTTGGTGTGGATCCTCATGTAAAGACAAAAAGGAAAAGACTGAAAAACTTGAAAAATTTATGCCGAGCAATTTCTATAGTACAAATTTGTATGAAATCAATTGTAAAAGTACTCAAAATGTATCCATTTTTTCCTATCTAGTATTTCCATTTTTTAAAAAGAATTGGCGAAAACATAATATGATTGCCAATCGAATTCTGCACCGAATACGCACGGCGTTTCTGTTTACTTATCTAAAAAAATATAAGCTAAAAAACTTTCACAATAAATCTATGCTCCAAACATGATAATCATCTTGATGCTGTTTCTTGTGTTAAGATGGAAATTTTCTTTCGTAGAAATCATCTAGAGGAAACGAAGAAAATATAAACACGCCAGAATCTCTAGTTGGTGTCACCAGACCAGCATCTGCGGCAGTCAATGGGGCTAACCGTGAATCGATGACTTCAATACAATTACCCTCTGGATGTGGTGTGGAGGCTGGAAGCCTTTACAATTCTGCTAGTGGAAGCGTGTCAACGCAGCTAGCACTTGTTGAGCAGCACTCAGATAGAGGCAGTGCAGATGGCTCACTTACTGAATCATCACAGTCAGATCAATCCCACCAAAAGGGTGGTGGGGAGACTGAAATCGTCCAATCTCCAGCCAATAGAAATGTTCCACCCTCGCAAACGCTCTTGAATCAGCAGAATGGTGATTTCATTGCAACTGTGCTCAATTTAGATGAGAACCAAACATCACAGGGAGGTCCACTGCAACAAGCTAGCACCATAGTGAATGACATTCAACGCAATTTCACCCATCAAAATGGTGAGACACAACGTTCAGCGCTATCAGTACCGCAGACTAGTTCAATCGATGGGATTCCCCTGAACGTTGTTCCTTCTATTTTACATACCCATCATTCGTCAGATGCAACTGGTCAACCACGTCAGCTGACGCAACAACAACGTGCAACATTTATAGAACATCCGCAATCTACGCAGCAAAAATCTGTGAATGTCGAAGTAGTGAGGGAAGTAGATGTAAATGACGATGTTGATGGAGTTAGTGGGAATATCGAAGTGCCAGTTCCTAGATTAAACGCCCAACCACCTGAACTTGATGTTGGTGGGGACAGAACCCATCAACTTAATGAAACTTTTAATTCAGATCGTGGTCCGTTACCCAATGATCCAGTTATTTTGAATGAGTTCAATGTACATTATTTCCCTGGCACTCAGCCTCTTCAGGAAATTAATGCAGCGCAATTGAATCGTCTACCATTTGTGCAACCAGGGCATATGCATCCACAACATATGGGAGCAAATCATCCACTTGTGAATGTAGGACCACTAGGATTGGTTGATAATTTAAGAGGACAAAATGCCAACGGTGCACAACAGATGGAGAATTGGATGGATCCGATGATGCGTCCAGTCCAACGGCCGTATCACTATTGGCCGCCGCTGATTGTCCAAGCACAACAGCCATTGCGAAATGAAGAAAATCGCCAACCACCACCACCTGACAATCAACGCGCAGCCGATGATAGGAATAACGATCTCCACGAAATGCGCCGTGAATTACAAGAAGGCTTTTCACGTGTCGAACGAGGAATCCGTGTTATCGCTGGTCGTCAAGCAAGACATAGAGATCCCCCTCCCTTTTTGAAGTTCGCTTCAAATCAAAGCCTTACGGCATTCGAGAATGCTACTGAAGATGACTATCAACATCTTGTCACATACCTGAGTCAAATTGGTGGAAGCGACGTGAAAAAAGTCACAGCCGGAATGATTCGTGCGACTCTTTCGACGGACAATGATTTTGTCATGAATGTAACAATTACACGTCGGGTAGAAGGGAAATTCACTCTCAGGACTGGTGCTGCAAGATATCTTCGAGCCATCCTGACTGCCTTAAGATGTTCGAGCGACTATGCTCGCATAACTGAGAGAGAATTCTACAGTGTTATGTCGTCGCAATTAAAAGCAGTCAAAGAGTGCCATCGTCAGTCCTTAGGGAGGCTTTGAGGATAGGGCCAGCGACGAGAATTTGAGATATCACCAGATTTAAAATAGTTGTCCCGTTCATGTAATATTCTAGTATTCTATAAGAAACAAAATTTGTTTGTTGCCATGTTCTATTGAAAACTCCGCGGATTTTCTTCATATTTATTGGACAAATATTTTAGAGAAGAAAATCATAGATTTTGATTTTTCTATACAAATTATTTTGTCGAGATTTAGAACATAAAAATGGCAAACCATCGATTTTTTAGTTTTTTGTCTTTAGATTTTTGAAGTAGAGACAAAAAAAATACGGTGAAAAAATATTAAAAAAGGTATACCTATGAATTTCTATGCATAAGAATCTCGACAGAATAAGTTGTATTGAAAAATGGAAATCCATTGGTGTTTTTCTATCGAATATTTCAACTTAAAAACCGCGCGCAAAGGCAAAATTCTCAAAAACTGACGGAAAATAGAATTTTCCATAGAGTGGCAATAGAATCTAAATCTGATTCTAATAAAATTGTTTTACGAAATCTCTTAGATTGTCTATGGAATCTTTTCATACATGTTCATTACTTTTTTATCTTTGATTTATAAAAATGTGTCTTCCTGTGTAATATTGCAAATTCTACACAATACATTTATGTATCTTCTTCGTCATAAAAATATATTTAAAAATACGTCACTCAAAAGGACGATTACCCGTGTCGGGTGTTCGAGGGATCATCCTCCCATTTCCCATAAAAAATGCTTGACACTGATGACGTTCGCCCTTACAGCAGATGCAGAGGTATAAGTTTCAAGGGCTGGGGAAATTTGTTTGATTTTTATGTATTCTTTTCAAATTTTTCCCATTGGAATACCTAGGCAGAAGTTTTCGAAATTTTTTCTGAAAATTCCTTGGATTTTCTACGGAGAGTAAAAAAAAAGATGAAATAAACGTATAACCAACAATTTCAATTGAAAAACAAGTTATATAGAAAAACCGAAATCCAGTGATTTCCATGTATTAAATATTTATCTTAAAAACGTCGTACAAAGGCTTCGGCAGTTTCAATCGAAATTGGTCAAAAAAATGTGAATAAAATAAAATAATATAACAATCTGAATCGAATTCGATCAGAAATGCGCAGATAGTACCATTTTCTATTGAGCTTTTTCATACCGAGTAATTTCTTGAATTTTTTTAAGTCTTTAATTCGATAATTTTGTTTTTCTTCGTGGAATATTGCGCTAACAATTGTATGTAGTAATCTCATACTGTTCAACAATTTTGCCTTAATTTTTCATCGCAAATTTCAGAAATTTTTATCGTGTTGCAATTTCACTGCAATTTCAAAACATCTTGGCATTGAAAACTCCGAATTTTGTGGAAAAATCGAATAGACGAGTAAATTTTTGTTCCATTTTTCCTTGCCAATGAACAGAAAACCAGAAAATTGTAATGAATACATTTTTGATTCGGAGGACACTGAGTGGCAGTGAATGTGATTTAAGCAGAAAAAATAATGGAATTACTGAATTCATTGCAAATTTAAGGTAATTTGACACCAAATGTTCTTCACCAAATGAAGAAATTCTTATCTTGGTGTCGCTTAAAATTTTAGAACCTAACTGAATATTCAGTGGAATTTGAAATTTCATAACATTTCAACCCCTAAATCGTCCTCAATACCACTGTATCAATAGTCCATGAAATTTTTGTAACAGCGCATGTTATATTCAAATGGTGGGGCATGGAACTAGTCGATAGTAACGACTTTTATTTATTTTTTACATTCAATTTTGTATTTTCTTATCCACGAAAACGAAGAAAAATTAAAGGATGGAAACACGTTAACAAAACCAAACAGTCCTAAAACAAGGTTTCTTTTGCAATTTTTCTCCAAACTTAATGGTTGCATAGATATGTCTAAAATAATTTTCAGCCAATTCTTTACGGACAATATTCTTCAAAAATACGTTAAAGACTCTGGTAAAATACAAGAATACATACGCTACTGTGGTATAGAATGATGCGATGGATGAAACTCCCCAGGCATCAGCAGAATACGTGAATTTTCCACAATTTGTCCCAGAAAGCTATCGAACCTGTGCGAAGCTACGATAGTCTCCAAAGCAAAGTTTTGCTATGATTCCTAATTCCAGAGTATCCTTTATGAATGTTTCATTCCATAAACCACCTTACACTATTCCGAGCAATGATAAATAGGTAAATGGAAGCTACGTCTTCCTGAGCCCCAGCATTTCCGGCCATTCCAGTGATCTACTCAGTAACAAGTTCAACATTCACGGAATCTAGCGAGTAGGCCAGATCTAGTCCCGAAATCTATCGAATTCTTCCCTGGGGGCTAGAAAAAAACCTCAAATTCGATAGTTTTGGAGATACCCCTGAGAAGCAGAAGTCTTGAACCCAGAAACATCCATCGTCGAGCTCTCGGCCCCGAACCACATAGACTATACCTGTCACCACTTCTGCAGGACACATGTGGTCATCAAGCAACTGCACTCCCAATGTTTTCTCTTCTAGGAACAACCTACTGTTGAGGGGACTGTAGTTTAACCGAGTTGGTTAAATAATTAGCTACAATTCCTGACTCAGCTCTTTTAGAATCGAGGGCTTGAGTTCTTGACGCTTGTAGACATCGTTCCTATTAAGACCACTAAGTTCGTCGTCATCTGGAACGTCCGAGAGATTTGTCAGTTAAAGGATTTTTTGGGCTTCTAAAGAAAAGATATTCCGGGGAAGTTGAGTTATAAATCAGAAGGAAAGGATACAAACGAGATGAGTTATCTTTGAGGTCAGCTGTCAACCTAAGGGAGGTAGGAAAATTTTGATAGATATTTTTTTTAGAGCAGATTCTGAGCTACATGGATTCACCATGTCATGTCAAAATCCATGGCGAATCCACGGCAGATTCATGGTAAACGGCCAAAAACCTATGGTAGCCACCATTATTTTTGTCATGTGACGTTGCATCAATCTTTTGAAAAATATTTAAATTAGTATTTTTAAATGCTGATGATGCCCATCGCACGACATATTAAAAGTATATTACGCAACAAGTGCGTAATGGGTTTTTGGGCTCCTGGGAAGTTGTAAAATGAGCCGAAGGCGAGAGTTTTTTTACTCGTCGGATGTTTACAATCCCACGAGTCCAAAAATACCATAAAGAACGAGCTTCGTACATGATGTTCTTTCGTATTTTATGTCACTGGGCCCACAATTCTAACCTCGCTTCGCTCGGTAGAATCGCGTGATTCTGGCCACCTATGGCATAAATTAAATGTTTTTTTATTGAAAATTATAAACATTTCAGTGCGATGTTTTCTCAACAATTTTAAATGATTTAGAATTTGTTTCCATTCACATATTTCAATGAAAATTTTCGGCCAATTTTATGCTATAATTTGCCGCTAATTTTAGCCGACATTTTACCGCAAATTTCAGCCGATATTTTGCCACTAAGTTTATTCGATATTTTGCCGCTAATTTTAGCCGATATTTTACCCTAAATTTCAGGGGATATTTTGCCACTAGGTTTATTCGATATTTTGCCGCTAATTTTAACTGATATTTTGCTGCTGTTTTCATGTGTAAATTTACAAATTTTTCAAGAATCTAAAAAGAGGCAATAATATCCGTCATTGTATTCAGAATCTACTACTGACTTTATCATCAACTTTGCTGACGGTTATATATGCATGTCGACTTGAAATTTTGGAGAAATTTTTCAGATATTTTCGCTGTTAGGCTGATAGTTTAACGTAGAAATGTGCCATCCTTATGTCGACAAACTGTCGGAAAATCAAGTTCAATTTTTCCGCAAAAAAAGATCAAAACTTGCCGATAAATTCTACGCCTTCGGATAATTTTGCTGTCTGGGTGTTTTCGCGCGATCACGTATTCTCTCATATGAGAATTTTGCCATTTATATTGATGCTCATTGTTTCATTTAGTTGATATTAGATAGGCTAGATATTGCCGAAGAAATATGCATTTATAGTTTATTGTTTTGTGCCAAAGGGTGCTATAGATTCAGCAAATGTGAACGACTATGGCTGCGCCCACACTCTGGTCAAATTTACAATAGTCTTAAGTGAAATATTTTTGCCTGAAGAGTTTTTCATCCATGTGAGTTTTTTTTCAGCAGTTTTACTCAATAAAATGAGTTACAGGATTTTTTTATGTATGCTTACGTGGTAAATAACGAAGTTGAATTTAATGATTGTTATATAGTACGTAGTCAGATATTTAACTCATTTTGCTTTTTGATCACTACTTGTATAATTTTCACGTGAAGTTAATACCGTTCTTAGGGCATGGTTCTTCAGAATAACTATTCTTTGTTTTCATTAAAAAAATTTATTTCATGTTTAACTAAATACCAAGCAAAATTATGACACTGGTCGTAGCTTAGAAAGATGGACCAAAAAGAAATGTTTTTAGTTGTGTTTTTTTTAGAAGATAAGGAATTAGTGAATATCTTTTCCTTCGAAAGTGATAAATGAGAGGGTATAATTGACGAGCATAAATTTATCACATTTGGCCTGATACTAATATGTTCCGAATGCAAAAAATTATTTCTGCTTAATTTGGAATGATATAACTAATTTAGTTTATTCGACTTATAATAAGAATCTAAATTTATGGGAATTGTTGAGTTCATTAGGTGGAATAAGACTGTAATCGAGTTCCGACGCATTAAAAAATGTCAAAAAGCAATCATTCTATTGTCAATCCCTTTTTTTGAATACTTTATTCCGATAAATAAATATGTTTTCATTCAATCCCGTAACTTAATACTTCCACCTGCTTCCTAGTGATAGTCTATGAAATTATAGAAATAAATATAATGGGCTGATACCATGTCCAATCGACACCTCGAACAAGCCTAAAATTGAGGCTTGAGTCAGACCTTGCGATGTCGTGTTTCCAGGCTAAATCTAGGCTTCTCTGCAGCCCCTGAAATAGCCTTTGATTCACGAGCCTGACACGAGGTTATCATTTTAAGGCTGAACGAGTGTTAAACCACGGGTGGACCCCAGCCCTCGTTGAGCATTTTTGAGCCTCGTTTCAGGGTTGGATGAGACCTGTTTCGATCGTCGATTTTTCCCTGGGATATAGAATAGTTCATTTGTCTCATCTGTCGAATGGTGAGAATTTTGATATAATGGCTAACGCACAAAATAGTGTGACACGTCGTTTCTGACGTTTATGGGTTTATAACTGAGAAAAGAATGAGCGTAACCAAATGAATATGATATCATTCGAAAGGTAAAAGAAGGAGCTCCAATGATATAGAATAGCCATTGTTATTCTACGATTAATTTGATTTAAAAATGTGATGTATGGTAAAAATGCAAGGTAGATAGTTCATTCCATTACATGCATAAACGATGATAACTGGATAACTGGAACAAACTGGATATTGATGATTGATAACAGAGAATAGTATGATTCGAAAGCCCAGATAATAAGCTTTCAAATGATACCAGAAGTGTATCACTTTTGCCTACACAGCTGCTGAAAATTTGACCGATCCTAAAAACTCCAAGGTAAACGTGACATACCGATTTCATGTTTGCGAATATTCAAATCCTCGCCAATTCGGTTCAGGTAGAGATAAATGGATGAAACATTCAAAAGCTTATTTCGTGGTCTTTGACGTGGTATAAGATTCATAATTTTTACTTATCGGCAATGCCAGAGGTACTGGCGCGTTGGGGACTTTAAGTATCGCTCGGTATAATCAGCGACCCGTTATTGATTAATCCTTCGTGTAAACACCAGGATTAATCCTC